CCATGGCTCTCTCCATCTGCCAAACCAATCACTCCACAAGTAGGCTACTGTACGCTTTTGTTCGTATGATTAAATGCTGCCAAAACAATTACCTGGCTCAAAGACCACACTGTGCTCCTAATGTAATTTTTGAAATGTTTCTATTCTAATTCTATTTAACCCTCTATAGAACAGAGGCTACCGCCGATAACAGCTTGGGCTTGGAAATTTTCAGCCAGTGTGTGCAGAAATTGCTCTTCAACATAGCTTTCATAAATTTCAATAAATTAAGGGCTTAAGCAATATTTATGATAAATAATTGTATCATTTGGGGGCTTCAGAACAAATGTTCATGTTGCCTTAAAGACCAAAGACATGCATTTTAAGTTTAGCTAATGCTTAGTCAATGAAAAGGCTTTATTGGACATAATGCAAATATCAGAACATTTTCAGCATTATTCCATAAAGCATGATATGCAATCGACTGCTGCATCAATAGCTCCTGTGCTATTTAAAACCTATGGGCAAATAAATAATGTATTTTGGTCCATTAATCATTTGGAAGGGAAGTAATTGTATGCAATTTTTATACAGTAAAAACATACATTAATTCTGGGTTTATAATTTTCCCAGCAGGTTGTTCTGCAGGAAAGGACATGCATCTATCACATCAAAAGCAACCACATGCACCATAATAACCTGCAGTGTAGCTATCAGCTAAAAAAAAAAAAAAGTCCGTATGTATTTTAAATGCTGATGGATGGCTATATTTTTTAAACTGAGAAAACAATAAGACATATGATAGGCAATATGAATGTTGGAAAACATTTTAAAATGCAACATACACAATCTCTGAAGAGTATTGCCTCACAAGTCACTTTATTCATAAGAATTGCAAATATAAGTTCTTTATGTCTTTCAGAACTGTGTCACATGTGTACATACTTTTATGTTCAACAAGATTCCTTTAAATTGTGATGGTTTACCAGTGTGGTCCATTAAAATACAGTTTCTTCCTCTGTGACTCTTTATGAAACAGTTTCATACCATCACGAAGATGGTGGCGGTATGTTATCTGTTTTTCCTCTTGTCTTTCTTGTTTTTACCAGAGGAACTGTGAACAACGTTCTGAGAAAGTGCCGTGGCATGGCCACTGATTCTAAGATGGTCGAATAACTTATTTCGTGTTGGAAACTCATTGTTACAGGTCACACAGCGGAAGTCTACTTCTTTCTGCAAACAGAGTGCACTTATATTAAAATCAAATGTAGAGAAAATGTTGTATACTTGTATACTTAATAGTTAATATCAATAAAGTAAGACTATATCTTAATGCTGTCAACTGATAAACAGAAATGTGTAATTTTAACATGGTATTTTTTAGCTTTCATCCCACTTCTGTTCAGACTACTATACATATCTAAAATGATATACTGTTACAAACCTCTTTATTTTGTTCTCCATTTTGTGCCATCGTAGGTTTCATTGCATCTTTTAGTACTCCTTTTTTTGCTTTTATTTTTCCAGAACTGCAATGGACAATTTACTATGAATTAAATGTATTTTGCTATTGTTACTGTCATAACAGTGGTTAAAAAGGCCTCATAACAGTGATTAAAATGAAAAGTGCCCAAAATAAAATACAAAAAGGAGCAGGAGCCAGTATTCTACTCCATGCCTAGTTAAGAGCACCACCATGAGATGTTTAAATTAAAATTACCTTTATTTTGAGAATTATCTGTACAACTTCCTTGCAACATTAATTAGCTGAATAATATGTTTATTTGAATTTGTGTGTAGATCCGTGAATTGAATATTTTTTTAAAGCTCAACATTGATTTATTGCTTTCTAAGCAATTTATTTATTGATTTATAAGCTCAACATTGATGCATTTGGTTTCCCTTGCTGCCATTTTTCAAGGTACCTTAAATAGTGCAAATGTTTTTGTAGAATGCTTGCATAACCTATGCATATGAAACAATTTCATGATTGTAAATACACTGACACTGCATTCTTTGGCTAGTTTGATAAATGTCACAAACCTTAAATAGTGATTCTCTCACAATCATAGACATTAATTGAAATCAAATTATAGCACAAGACAATCAATCAATCAAGCAACTTTAACTTAGCAATTCATCAATGATCCGAACAATTGTCTAACCTCTTGGCCTGAGGGGGAGCAGGCTCTCCCTGCTCTTCGGACTGTGTGGGTTCTTTGGTTTCTTCAGGGCCTTTGACACTTGATGTAGTTATCTTAGGCTGGACTTCATCCTTTGGAGTGCTCTGCTTCTGTGGAAACAAGTCTATACTAATACATTGTCTTGTCAATATATTTATGGTCATTAGAAATATACACACTACATACATGGGTCGCATTCTGTAGTTTCTTTTTTCTCTTCTGCTTTTTGGAAAGTCTTGAAAGATAAAAAATACACTAACATATGTCATAACAAATACTATGACTCTACAATGATTTAAATCCATCTTTACTTTTGCCTGGGTTTATCTTCATCCTCCTCCTCCTCCTCCTCCTCCTCCTCGTTCTCTTCATTCTCATTTTCCCCTTCCTGTTCTTCTTCATTTAGCTTCAAGCCGAGTGAGTCATCGTCCTCCTCCAACTGTTGCCGTAGCAATGCCACCATCTCCCGATGCTTTTTGGATTTTTCATGGTTCATTTTACTGCAGTTAGAAAGAAACACATGTAAATGCAATGCCACAAATACATTCAAGGTTCATACTTCAAGGCTGCCATTTCTTCATGTAAAAAAATGTGCAAGTGCTGTTTATTGATTTATCTGTTGCCATGGTGTTATGTCTTTGTCTCAGTTGTTGTGGTCTGTAATGTGAGGTCATGCGTATTGCGTGTTGTCTTGTACTCACGCTTTATCTGATTTGAAGGATTTATCACAGGCTAGGCAGTATAAGTCAAAATCATCAAGGGTTAGCTCATCCACATCAAGCTCCTCAGCATCTGTGTAATAAGATAGAGAAAAGAATCAATTATTGCAGTCAATACCCACCAATAAGCAATTTTAATCACCCATAGCAGTATACCCATAGCAGTATACATGTAGGTACGTGTGTGTTTGTGTGTATGTATATATATATATACACACACACACACACACATAATGTGTGTATATAACATTAATTTATATATACATATGGTGATTAGAGAAATGTTAAGAAACACTTAACCATACCTATAACAACAGTGATGCAAAATCACATATTATTAATATGAACATGTATGCTCATGGACATTTAGACATTTTTTTCTTAATTAATACTTAACTAATACTTAACATACTGTAGTAGTGTAGTGCTGCCTTTCTTAAGTCACTTTAAAAGTTAAACCAAAAATGCCATAATGTTTAATACTAGGAACCTTTTTCTCGTGTATCCACATCCAGGCCGTCTTCCTCACTTTCTGATGCATCTCCAAACTCCTCTCCATACTCAGCCTCCATCTGCTGCAGTTCTTTCTCCAGTTCAGACATGGCGGCCCAACTCTGCTCCTTGTATTCTTCGGCCAGCCTTTGGTAAAAATGTATTTAATTTCTCAGTCTCCAAAAATATTAACTGTTTAAAACAAAGCAATCACTGACTTATACTCACTTGGCTTGGTCAAGTTTCTGCTTACGCCGCAGCTCTTCAACCTTCTTGGTCTTCTCAGCATTTTGTTCCTCAACCAACTTTCTGTGAGCCTGTACCCGCCGGTCACGCTTCCGCACAAAGGCCACTAGTTGACGTACAAGCTCATTACGTTCCTTTCTAGCTTTTTCTCTGGTCTTCTTGTTCTCCTTTTCCATAGCTCTTTTTTCCCAGCGATTTGATGCCTGCCTTGTATCATACTCTTCTTTCCAGGCAAAGTTTTTTCGTGTGCAAAAACTTTGCCAATAAGCATAAAATATGTGCACCACCTGCAAAGTAAAAGATATATTTTAGTACATCACATTAACTTGTAAAGCAGCGACAAATAAATAAAAAAATTAACTTGCTTACAGTATCATAATCGCTTTGAGAATCTCCAAAAGATGGAAATGCATATTCCTCAAGTTCCTCCTTGGTATGCTCCATCTCCTCCTTTACAATGAGCTCAAATAGATTTCTATAGACTGTGTAAAAGCCCTAAAATACATAACCAAACACATCATTTTAATAGGAGACATGTCAAGTAATGTAACCGGAATATATTATACATTCATAAAGCTTCTATGTTGCTATTAAACAAACAAAATACCTTTTCATCATCTCCATAGCCAGAGTAACAAGTGACAGTGAAGTACTGAAGCAGGTCTATGCTGTCATCTTTATAATCTCCGCTGAGGCCACCTTTGAGCAAAGCTTCCCTATGATTGTCATACCTTCAATAAAAATTCATAAATTAGCAATGTATTAACAACATTACCACAAACAGGTGACTAGCATTTTTTACAAACCAGGCTCTCTCTTGTGGATCACTGAGAACATCATACGCGGCCTGAATCAGCTTGAATTGTTCCGCAGCTTCCTCGGCATCGTCCAGGTTCTTATCTGAAAGAGTGAACAAATGATGCAAAGTCTAAGTCATACACGTAATCAGCAGAATCCTTAACATTATAATAGTACTGCAACCAGCTGGATTCATTCCTTACCTGGATGCCACTTCAGTGCTAATTTACGATAAGCTTTCTTCAGATCATCATCTCCAGCATCCCGTTTGACACCAAGAACTTCGTAGTGACACCTCATTGTAGATAACTTAAGAACCGATATGTCAATAAATATTAGACAAGTAAAAACGTTAACTCACATCACTTGCCCTGTTTTTGCTATTGACGTGACGTTTTTTAAAGTAAATAATATCTTAACACCTATACGTTTACATCACAGCGGTAATTTGAAAATAAATAGTAGTGGTTTTCTCTAAAATGAAAATTCAGCTGGAGACCATTCTGTGGACAGTGTGGGCACCACGTGATATTCATTTTTTTTTCTTCTCAATGATTTCAAAGCAGACCAGTTGTGTCCAAATTTCCGTGCTGCCCCCTGTAGGTTTAGAAGATGAACTCGAGCAGCCTTGTCTCCTTGTTATTTTAATAGATCCATACTTGTCTTGAGACTCGTGCATTCATGAAACGCTCTTATTTACAATTCTCAATTTGTTATTTTAAAGGTTTTCCTGTAGTTATTTCCCTAAAACACAATCACCCCTAAATCTAGTGATGATAATTCCCAAATGAGTGGAATTATGGCATCCTCTAGTGGTGTAGAAGTAGGCTATACATGTCTCTCTTCAGTATCATTCCAATATGGCATTTGACCGCTTTTATGTTCTTAAAATTAAAACCACATTTTTACTATTAAAAGAATGTTACTCATCCGTGCAGCTGTATGCGTTTTTACTTTTAAATAAACCCTGCAATGTCACTAACATGGCACCAGAGGCTCTCTACCCCAAGTACTACTTTTCTTCTCTGATACCGGTGAGCGCTCTCTTTTTGATGAACATGGCGGCGTTCAAGAGGAAACGTGGGGCACAAAGCTCTGCTCCGAAAAAGGCAAAGAAAGTCAAATTTGTGGCAGATGAAAGCGAAGCACAGACTGAAAACAGTCTGGATAAGAACAATGAAGTTACTGTCCCTGCACCCGTCTCTATGGTAAGCCCTCTATGATGTTATAGTCTGAAGAGGTGACTGCTGCATGGGCGAGTGTTGTTTTTCCATGTTTAGTATGTACCTTCTGTGTTATAAGCAATGAAGGCTGTCAAAGACCACCACAGGATAATAACCCTGTGAATTCGGTAAGATGCTGTGTTATTTTAAAACGATAACTTTTTTTTTTTTTTTTTAACAGGGCAAATGGACCAACAAGGAAAGGGTTTTGATTTTCTCCTCTAGGGGTGTGAACTTCAGGACAAGGCATCTGATGCAGGATCTTAGGACTTTAATGCCTCATTCAAAAGCAGGTGAGTCTTCTTTTATTTATTGATGTTGTGTTAATAACATAATTAATGCTCTTAATGTTTTCTATGCAGATACAAAAATGGACAGAAAGGATAAACTGTTTGTAATCAATGAGGTGAGTTTATGTCCAGCGTATATGCACAAAAGACAAAACTATTCATCTTCTACATATTATCCAGTTGTTTCCTCCCATTTTATTCAAAATTGTTTCGTAGGTGTGTGAAATCAAAAACTGCAACAAATGCCTCTTTTTTGAGGCAAAGAAAAAGCAAGATCTTTATTTGTGGTAAGTCCACTTGTGCTGATCAGCGTCTGACAATTGTAGAAAGACCCAACATGGTTTAATCGATATGTTTTATCTGCAGGGTTTCAAACAGTCCTCATGGACCTTCTGCAAAATTCCTTGTTCAGAATAGTAAGTTTTTAGACTATTCTTAGTATTCTATATGAGCATTAGTATAAATAGTTGAATTAGGAACTGATTTATGAATGTCTTTTATTCTCTTTTTAGTTCACACTCTGGCAGAACTCAAAATGACTGGAAACTGCCTAAAAGGATCTCGACCATTGCTGTCTTTTGATCCTGTAAGCTAAGATGTTTGTTATCGCACTGGTATTCATATTTTAATTTGTTTAATCAGTATGGGTTATTTCTGTCAATTTTAAATTTTTCAGAAATTTGACAGGGAACCCCACTATGCATTACTGAAGGAGCTCTTCATACAGGTGATTTTTCTAATTGTTCTTAATAAATGAGTTTGGTTGTTATTTTAATGTGGAGATTTCTTTGTTCAGACATTCTCTACTCCTCGGTATCATCCCAAGAGTCAGCCCTTTGTGGATCATGTCATCACATTTACCATTGCAGATAACAGGATCTGGTTTAGGAACTATCAGGTAAAAAACGGCGTAATATTTGATTCAGCATTCATAAAACCGGTACAACTGACTAATTGAAATGTTTATCTCAGTTGTGATTGTAATTTTTTTTCTTGTGTGGTTATTCAGATTATTGAGGAGGATGCTTCTCTGGTAGAAATAGGCCCTAGGTTTGTTCTGAACCTAATCAAGATCTTTCAGGGAAGTTTTGGAGGACCTACACTTTTTGAAAATGAAAACTTCCAATCTCCTAATATGGTAAAAAAAAAAAAAATCAAGCCAAACAAAAGAATTCATAGTTTGTATGGAATATTCATTTGGTTATACTTCTCTCATCTTTGCATTTGCAGCATCGAAGACAGTTGCGACTGGCAGCAGCTGCCAAAGTTCGTGAAAAGCAGATGGTTAAAGAGCTCCAGAAAATTAAAAGGACTGAAGCAAAGGAGGACGTTACAAAAGACGTTACAGCTGATGTGTTTCTAACACCGGCTGATGACAAGCCAGTTCAAATAGAGTTAGAAGCACCACAACCCAAGGCTGTAAAGAAGAATAAACAGAAAGTCTTTAAGAGACAGAGGATGCAGATGGCTCGTAGGTAAATCGGAGGATTTTCCAAATGCTTGGAGATCCTTTGTCAGATAGATCTGCTGCTTTGCTGTGGGCTAATCATCTTTTTTGATTGGAAAATATACACATATTTAATGTTTGCCTAGGATCAAATAAAAAACACACTTTTTCAAATGTACATGTGTAAATTAAGATTGACAAGGTGGATTTAGACAAGTTTTATTTACATTTATATTTTGAGTGAACACCTTTTTATACTACTATGTACTGTACAACCAATACATATGGGTGGTAATAAAAATGTTATTTTTTAACTTTGTAGTATGTGGCACATTGTCAACTGAACAGGCGAGTGGTAAAATCATAGGAGTATAAAAATGAAAAAAATGCATAGCACACTCAGATGGCCAATGTCCAAAAGCTTTGTTGTTTTTTTAAATAACGTTTTGGCAAAAAGCCGAATTCTTAATTGCTGTTCCTTGCATTTGCACCTCTACAAGAACTTTGTGCATTTTCTGTTTTATTTTAAAATAATAGGAAAAAACATATAAACCATGTCATAAAACACCATCAAATTGCAGCATTTACTCTTCAAAATGGTGGTAAGTAGCTACTCCTTGTAGTAGCTCTCCTGAGGTTAGTGCTAGATAGTCATAGATGTATAAATCAGAACTAACTGAACTTTCATCAAAACAAGCACTTGAAATAGCATAATATATATATATTTTCATCATTCCTCTTCAGCTTCTTCATCTGGACAACAGTAGTACTCCACAAAGCAGATTTGTCCATCATCATTCCTGACCAGGTATTGCAGAGACAGGAACCCCCTATTGTCTGTTCTCACTGATACTTTACAAGACAATGCCAGAGCCTTGGTTGATGGTTTTAACAATGACATCTTGTACCTGCGGGCATAAGATAGGCAACAGTAACACAGTGTAGAAAGTAAACTGACATTATGTACAAATGCAATGTTGTACCTATTGGTCTGTGTCTTTGTACACTGGAACAACTCCATCATGTCGGAGTCTTTAGGATAATCATAATGTGCATTTCCAGAGTTCCCAAATGTGGACAATCTAGTTGAAACAGTGAGAGAACACATAAATTAAGCAGACAAATCATAGTAATATTACATTTGTTGTGCTGACACACCGAAAATATGGTTGAGTTGGTGACATGGTTATTTGCAACACCTCACTTGTCATGTCTAGTTCAGAGAATGCTTCCTTCAAACTGTCTGACTGCAGGATCACCTTAAAAGTATAAATGTAATAAATCAATCAATAACTACGAGAAGGGAGGAATGAGTGCACAGCCTTACTTTGTTTGTGACATTACTGCTGCAAAATTCAAAGTCAATAGGCTCCTCTGGCTCTTGGGTGTTTATCTTGCATACAGTGACCACTCCTCCTTCTTCAAGAAATAAAGTTAGAGGGTACCCATACCCTACATAGCACATCCTCAGTGCTGTTGACACTCCTGCAAAATCGTTGTGTACAAAGAAGAACACTTAAATATAAGTATACGTACTTTGTAGATTTCTGAGATACTAACCTGGCACAGTGGTCCCTCCAAAGATGTTAAGACAGTCTAGCAAAACAGTGAGATTAACCTGAAAGCCCACCAAATCGTCTTTAATTGTAAACTCCTGGAAAATCTCGGCCTGGGAAAAATAACCGTAGGGATGGTCATTAGGATACAATCAATCATACAAATAGGCTAGTCTAAATAACTGATGCCCTTCAAAACACACCTGGATGAAGGCGTTGGCTTGCAAACATTTGGAGTCCTCTACGGTCACTTTAAGTCCATTTGGGGTAGCACTGAAGATGGCGTGATCTTTAAATGCAATGGCTTTTAGGATGTTTGACAAATTGCGGGCATTATCCAATGTAGCGACCAACACGTAGAATTCATCGTCGGCCTGAGACTGAGTTGACAGGGGCATGTTAAACCTGCAAATAAAAAATACAAGCGATTAATTTGTTTCAGTTACGGTGAATTAATTATGAAGCCAAAGTTCTTTTTTGTTAATGAACTTTCTGTACTGTAAACAAGCTATGATCATTTGTATTGAGCCTTATCACCTAAATTTCACTCTGAGTCATTAATCAACATGTACCAAGATGTATTACTCAATAATCTATTACGTCTAGGGCACTTACAAGAAAATGTTTAAAAAGGTAATGCAGTGATGTTTTGAGGATAGCGCCGCATGTAAACAACATGCTATAACTTCCGTACCATGCGGAAGTTGCTAATGCGCATGTTCAAAAAGCTGTGGACCACTGGTGTTGGGGGAAATTGAGCGAAACGCGTTAAAGATAATTCTCCTGAATATTTCTTTGTATTCTGCTTTTGTGTCGGTAAGATAGTCATTATCAAGTATAAGAAACAATTTGTCTTATTGGTTGTGCGCTCTGATAATCGGATCTCGGCGTCTGGACTCGATTTGACCAATGACGCAGTCCATAGAAATCAATCTAGGAAGAGTGAATGTTTGAATAATCAGACAGAACATGTGATGTTGTGGCTGTATGTGTTATTCTCGTCTCATTTACTTGCTTTACTTACTTACTACATTTTACCCATTTCCGTAGGTGTTCTACAAAAAACAACCATGGTGTGCATTCCTTGCATTGTAATTCCTGTCTTACTGTGGGTATACAAGAGGTTCCTGGAGCCTTTCATTTACCCCTTCATTTCGCCTATTATTAATACATTTTGGACCAAAAAAGCTGTACAAGAGACGGGCACAAGTGACAGTAACATTGACACCCAGTCTAATGGATCTTGTAAGGTAAGTAAACACTGAACAGATATGAACTAGGAACAAGTTGGCACCAGTAAACACTTGTGATGTGATGTACCATCTGCTTATGTGATGCTTTATTTATTGTTTCAGAAATAAAATATGTTTATGGTCTAAACTTTTTTTTTTTTTTCAGTTGGAAAACAAAGCAACCATGGCCAATGGATCACTTTCACAAGCTGACAAGAAGACAGACTGAGAGAATTGTAGTGAATGTTATGTAAATATGTTAGTTGTTGGAGATATTTTAGAAATGTTTTTGATTTATTATCATGGTTACTTGGGCTCATTAACATTAATTAACAAACTAATTTATTAAGAGTATTTTCTATGCATGATGCATAATGATTAAATATAACACCTTAATTACACGATTTTCTTGTCTGATTTCTTTCACATATGTATTATTACAGTACAAGTCATTGTAGCCTAATAGATCTTGCGGGCTCCAGTAGGTCTCCTGCAATATTTGCAGCGGCTGTGATGTAATTCAACCGAGGATTCATCTGAGGAATCCACCTTCTGCCACTTTTCTAGTGTCCATCCTTTTAGCAGGCTGTGGGCTTTGGCAAATGCCACACGTTTTTTTTTTTTTTATTGACTTTTGTTTAGTGCTGGTTTCTGTGGACTGATTCGATCATGGAGGCCATTTCGAGACAGAATTCTACAAACTGTTCTGGTTGACACAGGGGCTTGAGGTGACCAGGCCTGGTGGAGCTCTGCTGCAGTGGAAAAGGGGCTGGCCTTGGATTTTCGAATCAACAAACGGGCCTCCTGAGCTGTTGTCTTGCAGGGTCTGCTGGACCTGGGCTTGTCAAAAACATCTCCAGTCATTTCAGATATTTTTCTTATTCTTTGTACTTGACACTGAGACACATTGAAGGTGTCAGCCACCTCAGCAGTGGATCTGGTCTTCAGCCACTTGATAATTAACGCTTTGGTCTCAGGGTGGATCTTAGGCATGTTGTCAGAGGTCAAGTTGCAGTTGATGTGAAGGTCTGGTGTGCTGGGGTTCTTTTTATACACACCCACTAATTGATTGATAAGTAACTGATCACAGGTGAGGCTGTAATCTAGGATTGGGTGCATCATATGACAAGACGACAAGACTTTTGTCTTGCCAAAATCTGACCTTTCTGTGTTCATTAAATTATCAATCTTTCTTCAGTGAAGCAAATTTATTTTAGTATATTGAGCATAATTTGGGAGGGTTTTAGCTTTCATATGAGACATTTCTAAAACCAATCGATTAATTTAAAGTCAGATTATAAGCTTTTGTTTCTACAAAATGGATAAGCGACAAGACTTTTGTCAGGGACTGTACTCCCAGGTGGGGAGCAAGGGTCAAATTTTCCTACTGACAACATTGTACTTTGCCATGAAATATCCAAAAGATAAATTCACAAATGTTGAGCCTGAACATTTCTGTCAGTGTCTAGACACAAGAACTTATTGTATGGCAACACAAATTTTAGCTGCCCCCATGTATATTAAATAACACTGGTCTATAGAATGTTGTGATGTCATCTAAAACCCACCAATCATCACGTGTAATACTACTACTACTACTACTACTACTACTACTACTACTAATAATATAATAATAATAATAATAATACTAGTTTTGCTGTTCCTATACGTGTTATTTTAATAGGTCCGTGGTCTATGGACGTTCTGTGGGGCGTTCCTTTTGTACGTCACAGTAGCGTGCGTCGTCAGTACGCAATGGGTGGCGACGTGGAAATCATGGTGGACAGAAGGAGCTAGTCCAGTGCTCGACTTAAGTTATATCATAAATCTATAACGCTAGGTCCCTGCTGTAGATATTTATAATATATGTAATGAATACATCTATTCTATTTTTCAACACCGAGTTTCTCTTTACTTTTGTGCCACTGGAAACGCGAAAGAAACATTTATGACAGGTAAGCGTCAGCTGATTGCAAGCAATCAGGATATGTGAGTATTCTTAGCCATGTCAGACTTGTGTCTCCGTACCTTTACTAAACATTCGTATAGTTGCACATTTGCCATTCTAGATTACTTGTATTTTTATGTATACTCGTTGTCTCAGTCCTTGTTCGGCGGCTTCTGCTATCACCGAGCTAACTGCTAGCTAATGTTGCCAAATGAATGTTGCTGATGTTTACAACTAAAACACCTCTTTCCCCATATCTAGCAGTAGTTGATTATACCTATTCAACCTATATAAACTGTTGTGATATGATTGTCTTGTCCTCTCTTAGTTAGCACTCACAGTCACAGTTATATATTTTAGGTGTGTCAGTTTTTGAAAGCAAATCCCACGTCCTGTTTGCACATCTAACAACCTGCTCTTGGCGGCTGGCCTAACCTAAGTTTAGGTTTCACACACGCGCTATTACTTTAGCCTATCAGCACTGACCTTAGCTCAATGATTAAATAGAAATGTATGATTCAAACTTAATACACTGTTGTCTTTGTCATGTTTTACAGACATTGTGAGCTTTTATACTGGCCAAAATGGGAGCCAATACAAGCCAGATCAGTGACTTATCAGAAAATACAAGTCTCAAGGCTTTAGTTGGAACTGAGGTCATTTCAGAAAATGATCCCTTCTGGAACCAGCTCATCTCATTCACGTTCATCAGTCCCACTTGCGGGTAATGGTTGCACATGACAATTTATTACTATGGTATTATTTGTATCATGCTGCTCATCTTATTTTTTTATGCAGTGGTGACTCGAAGTTATTGGAAGAAGCAGTCAATCCATTAGCCAAGATGCTTAGTAAGTTTTTGCATGCTGGAACAAAATAAAATAAAAATAAAAAATTACATACTAATAAAAAATTTGTCTTTTTAATTTTTAGTTGAAAACAATCCTAGGACTGGAAACTTTTGTGCTCTTGTAAGAATTTTCCTTGGGAGGACCAAGGAGCTAAAAATATCAACGGAATGCCAAGAGTGAGTGAAAATGAGCACCTTTTTATAATTCTACTTCTTAAATCATTCCATATTGAAACTCTGTGGGCAAGCTTGAAATGATCTGTGAATGAATGTCCAAGACAAAATTTAAAAAAAATTATTTCAATTTTGATCTGGAGGATTGAAACCAAATAATTAATAGCTGCCTGAAAATGATTTGCATTTTTGACCGTTTACTGTGGTCAGTTTGTTTGATTTTTATGTTTAATATTTTCTTTCTTTACAGTCAGCTGTTTATATGGCAGGCTCACAATGCTCTATTTATGATTCGCTGCCTGCTCAAGGTGTTCATCAGAGAAATGAATGAAGAAGAGTTGCACCTACAGTTTTCGTACCAGGAGATGGCACCAGGTGTCTGTGGAGGTGAGCTTACATCTTATTTGGCCCATACAGTGCATAGAATATATTTATTTAGGAATTCTACTTTTTGTAGGAAACAAATGCAATAAGATTAGAGAAATAGTGTTTATTTAACATCGAAGTACAATATTTATTTTGCAATAATAATTGTTACTATAAAATTGAATTTAAACTGTACAGTTCAATAGCCAAACATTAATTTTGTAAACTCATAGCAACACTTTTGAAATAAACAAAATAAAGACATAAAAAAGTAAATAGTTAGTGATACTGTATGACCTTCAAGGATCTGCTATTTAATGTAAGCCTCAAATAATAAGTCTTCTATGCCCCCTGTGTAGAAACCAGCCGTGAGGACCTCCTTGAGGAGCTGCTGTCCAACCTTATTCACCTGATTGTTGAAGTGCCCCTGCTGTGAGTGCAGCCAAGACCTATGCACAAATTGTATGATTATATATGTATCTATGAACCCCATGGGGTTTAGCATATATAAAAAGGTCATGTCTGCAAGAGTGATTACTTTTAAAAACATGTAAAAACACTACTTGTACTGCACTATTTTATTAAGTTAATTAGATCAAGTTATATCTATACTACACAAAAGCACAATTACCACATGAGTCCAAATATTTCAGAATGCCTCTCTCACCATGTTGCTTCAACTTTAATTTGCCAAAAGATGCCAAAAGAGACATCCATCCATTATATATAAAATTTTATGTTTGAGTAAACTGAAACTCAACATTATGTCTGTCTCTGCAACCATACATCAATCATTTATTTACTTAATACATTTATTAAATGTCTTTAATTTACCATTTATTTGTTGGCATCATGTTGCTAATAGCCTGCCAATAAGCCATTTCAACATACTTTATGCCCCACTGTCACCAGTAGAGGGTGACAGACAACATAAAACATGAAATGCTTATGCAAAGGGGAAATTTGATTGTTGAGCATTTCTAGTTAATTCAGTTTCATTAACAATATTAACTAGGAGGAGTGTAATGTGATAATATTAAGATTTTATTGTCCTGTAAAATTATTTAACTCTACTTGTGCTTCTGTTTTATATAGAGACATAACTTACAGCATTCTGTTTGAAGCAGTGACCACACTGCTGGTCTTGTTTTCATACCAACTCTTCAGTAAAGATATCCTCAGAGATGGTGTAATATACCAACATGCTATGAAGGGTAGATGGTAAGTTTACTCAGTGACGTTAAAGTGCTGCGATTTTAAGCCCCTAAACATCAACTGTAATCTATGTTAAAATAACATGTTTTAATCATACATATATTAATTAATTAATTGTATATTTGTGATACGTATAGTTAATTCCTGAGATACCGTATTTATTTCAAGATAATAGAATCTTTTTTTAAATTACTAGTCTAGTGTTCTGATCTTATACATCATTTTGAGCAAATGTGACCTGTTGCTTCTTTTTTCAGTTTAACTTTAACAAGTCGACTTGTGAAGACACTGCTCTATAACTTCATCAGACAGGAAAAATGTCCTCCTCCGGCAACTCACATATTTGAACCAAAAGCTGAAGGTGGTCTTCTGTATGGCCTGGCATCTGGAGTTGCTAGTAAGCATATTTCATTTGCATTCCATCAATCAAAGCTCAGTCTTACCATCTAAAGGTTAAATTATAATGAATCTACCATGAAGCTCAGCTATAATTTGCTGTTGTGCAGATTACTACACGCTAAATGGCACATTATGTTATCTTATACAAGTTAAATGAAGAAACCTGAAAGAGTTTAAGAACCTTATAAACACCTATATATGAAAATAACAGTCAATACCACTGGCACGGCACCACTGAAATCCATGGGGTTCCCTGGGAAATGGAACGCTTTTTGCTGCTCACTGGTGGCAGATTCCTATCAGTGAGACATCAGTATTCATTGCAGCCTGTCTGTCTGTGGTGGCCACTGATCGCCCCAATGAGTTACGATGCTGTGTCCTGCTCTATAATCCCCTAGAGCCTCCCAGTCTGCTCTCGTCTACCTTATACACACACACTCACACATACACACACAGTCCAGCAAGTTTTGGATTTAGAATTAACATGATGTTGGAAAATGTTGCAATATGGCTGTTCAGTACAGCAATATTTATGCAACTGTGCTGTTTTAATATACTTCTTGATACTATTCAAACACTGTCCAATAAATACTTAACAGAGACAAAACCAATAGACCATATCAATGTTAACTTTGGATTTAATTCGGAAAATTCATTCATTTCATTTTCATTGTACTGTTCCGAACCGTGATGTCACTGTGATATATTTAGTTTGTTCAGATAATGATGATTGTATCTGCCAATATTCTTGATCCTTTCACAATGTTGTATAGCCCTAATGTGTATCTGAAAGCCTGTCAAGAAGGCCTGCTATTATTTTTTTGGCTATTGAATAGTAGCCATATATGAGTATGTCTTGTGTAATGGGAAATATTTCACCTGTGTCAGATCAGAGAATGCAGTGATTTTATATTCATTCACATTATTTAGTATATAAATATATACTTTTTTTATTAAATTTGCTGTGACTGAAATACAGTAGTAGACACAGACTGAGCATGAGCAAGTAAGTGTAGTAGTGCATAGTGCTGCATGTGAGTAGATTCTATTTCTGGCAGCATGCTCCTCATCACTGTTCCAGATCCTTAAATCCCAGACTATGATTTCAGAGTTTCCTGTCCGACTTTGACCTCCTCTTTTCTTTATTTCTCCTCTTACCTTCCCCTCTTAAAATGTCCTTCTCCTTTTTTCCACTGGGCAATGAGCCAGGGCCGCAGCAGCCTTAGCAGTACTCTGTTATTGGGTGGTGAGTGGTTACGTGGTGGGCTGGCAGACAGGCACAAAAACGGAGCCAAAGGGACAACAAACAGCACCGAGAGGTAAAGTCAGCATTTTAGGCCAGTGCAGGAAACATGGAGGCCAGACACTCTGTGACACTGCTGGGACGCCTATCTGGTGCCAGTGAAAAAGGCATCATCACTATTTGGCCCTCATCCTTGAGATCTTGTTTTCTTTCACTCTCTTGGAGCAGCTGAAGTATCACTTCGCAGAAGAGACAAACATTAGCAATGAATCACTCAGTTTAACACATGCAATTCATCTTAACAGTTTACCTTTGTTCCGAATGAAATTTGCTGATATAACTTCATTACAGACTAAGCTTGTACTGTCTATTTTCTTCCTCAATCTTTAAATCTTTCATGACATTATCATTAAGCATTTGACATCTATTTTTAACATATTTTACTCCAGCCATCATTAGTAGCACTATTCAAAGATTTATAACTATTTTTGTTTTGTTTTTTAATTGAGAAAGCTGTTTGTTATAAAGCTAAATGTGTTTCAGTGTTTGATTAAAACTGTTATAGATGTCAAAATATTATGTGTGATTTTGTCAATCCCAGATTTGATCCAATATGGCTGACATCCTGTGGGGTTTAGGGTGGGGCCGTAATATATTTTTTCATTTCATTTTTCATCTACCGACATGGTTTATTTAAAATTTTTATATATGGCTACATTCAAATTTTCCGAGCCGGTCTCCCATTGCAGCAATGTAAAACATTTTTTGAGGTGGCGATACTGGGCAGTCTTTGAATACTTTCTCTCGGGGTCTTCACTGAAAATTAGATGGCACTAAACTTTAAGTTTCAATACTAACTGTCTGTACGTTAGTGTTTTCTACTTGATCTTTGGCCACAATAACATGGGTCAATTGTCAATCTTTTTGTTTACCACCAGAGGGCAGCAGATAAGCTTGGCCCTTCAGTCTGAGCTGACAGCCTGCTCTCACATCTCTCTGGTGCTTACTTCATGCATTCTCTGTGGCTAGACATGTAGGAGCCAGAGACTGTCATCTGTGTACGTAGGTTCTTATGCTTCTCATGTCGCTTGCACGCCTGAGAGCGCCAGGTCTCTACTGGCTCCACAGAAAAGGATGTTCTGACAACAGGACAAGTATTGAGCATTCACTCACTGATGTAAAGTTATTATTATTTTTTTTAAATGGCGTTTGCCTGTTAAAGATAACAAACAAAGATAACATTGCAATAATATATTTCTACCTCCCTGTGCTACCCTTAAAAGATAAGTGCCTGACAACCTCAAATTTTGCTATGTATTTGTCTTTTTCTTAAATGACTCTATATTTAACTGCTGTAAGTTTTAAATTATTATTGTATATGTTGTTCCAGGTGGTCTGTGGAGCGTTTTCACTTTGGGAGGAGCTGCTACCAAAACAGGGCTCGATCAGGATCACAACCATTTACCTTTATCCAATCAGAGCCTTTTGCTTCTTCTGGTCCTGGCCAATCTTACAGATGGACCTGACTTTCCCAACCCTTACCGGCAGGCCATTACTTGCTTCAGAAATACACAAGGTACTGAAGCTTCACACTTACATTGTACCTTTGACAAGACTCATTCTAATGATGTTTTTGCCTGTGCTGCTGCAGACACGTCAGTGCCCCCTGTGGAGCAGCCTCACACGTTCCAGATTAATTTCAACAGTCTGTACACAGCTTTGTGTGAGCAGCAGCGCTCCGACCAGGCCACGCTGCTCCTGTACACTCTACTCCACCAAAACACCAATATGAGGACCTACATACTCTCCAGAACAGATATGGACAACCTGGTGTGTTGAAAAACATGAAAGAATATCAACAACATGAATCTTTACTCCACAGAAACACAGTCACATTAGTTCATCATTAAAAGTTAGGGTGCGCAAGACCACTGTCATGGTTTAATCCCCAGAATGTTTTGGGAGCTTGTCACAAATGCTCACACAAATGGATTTTTATTTCATTTAATAAAAACTTAGACCCTTCTTTAAAAACATGGTCACACATGTAAAGTTCTCTTCTGTAACTGGTACAGGTGTTGCCAATCCTTGAAATCCTTTACCATGTGGAGGAGAGAAACTCTCATCATGTCTACATGGCCCTCATTATTCTTCTAATCCTAACTGAGGATGATGCTTTTAATCGCTCCATCCATGAAGTGGTGAGTGCATCTTCAGTGTTTGTACTTCTAATAATAATGTGATTTCTAATCTAATCATATATGATTACTTTCTCTTCAGGTGTTAAAGAATGTTTCATGGTACACAGAAAGGTCATTAACAGAAATTTCACTTGGAAGTCTACTCATCTTAGTAGTTATTCGCACTATTCAGTTTAATATGACTCGAACAAGGGTACGATCATAGCAATTTTGTGGATTGTTTTATTATTGCTAATAATACACATTTTCATATGACTCTGTACTTTTTTTGTAGGATAAATACCTCCATACCAACTGCCTGGCTGCACTTGCAAACATGTCTGCACAGTTTTGGTGTCTGCACCAATATGCTTCTCAACGTATTATTAGGTAAGATTTGTTTTTAAATTGTCTTTAAATCGTTTTGTGAAATACTCAGAAGATTAAACCTGAAGGCTGCGTTCAGGGAGAGCTACCTTTGTGCTTAGAGATCTTATGTAATGCGGGCAAGCTCAGGCAGAGGATTGAGAAGAAAGTACTTAAGAGGACAGCCCAAATAGTGTACACAGCACTATTATGTCATTAATTTCTACTGGTAATAATTAATGACACAGAAGACATTTGTCCCTAAAGACATGTACACATGTTCATTCGGCCTAAGTTCAAATCAGTGAATCTGTTGTTTGTAGTAGTAGACCAATTGTGTGTGGATATAATGATGCACAGTAACCATCTCCTGTATAATGATGATGATCAGGGCCTGGGTTGAACTTGGAAGGCTTGTGAGATTAAGGGAATTTCCTGACAGGAATTTCCAAATGTCAGGAAGACTGCAATAACATAATTGAGTCCTATGGAGAGTCATGTGTAGAGTTGTTATTTATTACAGTGGAAAAAAGCAGCTCCTTTTCCCCCCAGTTTGTGATTGTGGGTAATAAAAATTGATTTTGTGTAGAATACAATGTAAACTAGATTTGAACTCTAGATTTTACTATAAACTATGTTGTATATTCTGTATTTAAAATTTAATAAGTTCTAGTGTTAACTTTACATATGGCCACACACTGCTTTCTTATGTTGACTTGACAAGCCAGTAGGAAAATTCACTGAAACCTACATTTTTGTGGCTGATAAAGTAAAACAATGATGTGTTCAGTTTTCTGTAGGATTCTTAGCACAGACCACCTTTACATCCTCAATTTGTAAGCGTAGAACCCATCTGTCATTGCTTAATGCATATTGCCAATTTAAGGATCAAGTGTCATGGTGTAAAAGTCCTTCAGAATCTCAGTTCCACAGCCTTGTCTATCGTTACCTCGACATTAAGAGGGATGAACTGGGACCACGATACAGTACTATTCTGTGACCAAAACAAGCAGGTGGAGCTGAGGAGCTCCCATGGTGGTCCTTGAGCCCATAAGAATTCAGAACCACTGACAGATCCTATGACCCTCATTCTTTGTGTGTGTGTGTTTGTGTGTATACAAATTTTTTCCTTTTAAACATTTCATTCAAATTTATTGACCAATTCAGAATTTTGAACAATAATTGTTTAAACTTTAGCCCTTTTTTGTTTTATTAATTTCCCATGCTTGTTTTTCTCCTATAGCCTATTTGCTCTGCTTTCCAAAAAGCACAACAAGGTATTGGAGCAGGCCACACAGTCGCTCCGAGTCAGACACGGAGACAATACTGCATTGCCTGACTATGTGAGTAACACATTTGCTCTTACAATTAAGATCGAATTCACAAATATTTTATTTACTTTTGTCAGACTGGGGCTTGTCTGACACTTTCAGCATACAAAGGGTGAATTTGTTTTCAGACTGTTGCTGTATATTTTTCATTAATACATATGTGTGCTGCCTTTACTTTACAGTCAGTGGCACTTTCACAATTCAAGAGTTGAATTTATATTGTTTAAAGGTGCACTATGTCATTTTACTGGTGCAGTGTGCAACGCCTGTCTTCACAGAGAGGTTTTTACATTGCCTGGAATGTTTAATCAGTATGGCATTAAACTTAAACAAGCAGGTGTCTGATGCTACTGCTAATGAATATTCACTAGTAATCTGTTTTAGAATACTTGGCTCTGTCCCCTGCAAATCACAAATTTTGAAAAATTTAAAGCAGAGGTTCTTAACCTTTTTGACCTCCGGGCCCAACATGTTCTGTAAAAAAAAAAAAAAAATTTATATCAAATGCATAATATACAGTAATATATAGTATACTATACATTGTGATTTCACAGCCTCTAAGTGAGTGCTCGCTTGCTACTTTGGACCACTGCCCTATGGTTAAAAATCACTGATTTGATTTGATATTTAGTCCCAACCCATTTGTCACATTACTATAGGGTTACTGAATCTTAAATAAAGCAGCCTATACATTTAAAAATATGTTGACAATATGTAAAACTGAAATCTGAGCTTAAGGCTAAACATTTGATTTTGTGTAGTTCTGGTAAATTTATATTAACCACTGATCTGCAAAGATCAGACACTGTTGACACAAATACATTGCATTCACTTGTACACTCACTGTTTTATGTCTCTTCAGGGCACAGTCAGTTTTATGTCCCAATAAATGCAGTAGCACTTCAGTTTTAGTTGGCATTGCTCATGGGCACATTTCATGTTTCAGATTTTTTCATGGGAGTTTACCAGTGAGGCTGTTTTACCTCGAAATGCGTCTGACTCATAGTCTGGGTCATAGTCTCTTCAGACGGAACTGGTCAAGTTCTTTTTGATACCAGCCTTATCCTGTAGTTTAGACTAGGACACTTGGTGACATTGATTCCCATGTCTGCTCTACTCTTCCTCTCTCACACCTCTTCATCAGGACAGATTTGTTGTGCAAGTCCAGGCACACTTTGACATATTAACTCTTTGAATTTTGTTTTGGCTATTAATTATTCATGAAGAAATACAGAATCAGTGTTTCACTCTTATATTTAAAACCGGGTTTTATTCTTTTTTTTGAACTACAGTAGCTCGTGTGTGATGATTCTTCCCTCTCACCAATTTGGATTGAAACTGGCCCTCTCAATTTATGATTTATATGAATTTAAAGCCCTCATTCTTCCATATTTGTATACTCTATTTGCTGAAGAGGAAGCAACCTTTTCAGTGGCCTTGTAGCACACAGTAGGAGAGCAGCAGGGACAAGAAGAAGCCGCTCTTCTCTTTTTGACCAGCATCTGGAAACAATGTCATTTGGCTACATCTTTCCCTGCACACAGGACAAATGTTTGTTTAATGTGGGATTGCCATGGAACTATATAGCTCTTTTTATGTGTTAAGTCAAAAGCTATATGAAAAAGAGGCTGTAAGCAGTGAGCTAAAGCTTATGTGTTAATGTCTCCTCCAGTCTGTCTGCCTCTTGCTCTTTAATACACTGTGTGAACAACCCCCACCTTCTAGTGTGCTGCTGTGTCTGCTTAGCGTCAAGGAGAAAAAAGGAGAAAAGGGCTTGGGCATGGAAGCCTCAGGGGACAGCCAGTGGCAAGCAGGGTAGCTCTCTGGGGGGGGCTGAAGCCACACTCTCCTGCCTTTGCCCCTACACTCACCCGGTGGCCCCTGCAAATCACAATGTTAGGTGACATGTCTTTGGGATATTATTGTAGGACAATACCAGTGATTTGGGCTTTGATCCAATACCAAGTTACCAAGTAAGTATTGTGATATTGATCCGATATAGTCTCCATTTTTGGTCCTCGACAGCTTGAATTTAAAAATCTAATGTATGTGCAGATAAATTAAACTAAATATTTAAACAGTGTACTTCAAAAGTTTATTAATATTCTATTTACAAAAAAAAAAAAGATTTTATGGCATGAGATCAATTTGATACTTTTCAATACCTTGCCGGTATTGATATATCGATATTTTGGTGTTAATCTGCCCATCACTATGAGATGCTTGTATTCTTGTGTTTATACATAAAGATTTCAAAGAGAAGCTCTGACTGTATTTCATCTGCAAGAAGTGCATGCTCTAAGCCAATGTGAGTGCTAAAGTTACTTGGTCTGTTTACTGTTACACATTTTTGGGAAAGGGCTACGCACACTCAGACAGGGTGGTCCAACATGCTCTGGGCCGACTATCTGTTTATGTGCTACCCGGGTCCCATTCTGTGATCCCTCCTTTAATAGCCAGTGGAGAGACATGCATTAGCTGCTTTGTGCTGCTCCTCTTAAAGGCACAGTAAGGCCTAGGGATGTATCAACAGATAGTAAACAATATGACATCTGTTTAATGTAAGGCCTTCCAAGGACTTGCAAAAGTTGTCATAGTTTCCAGTGGTGAGAATATTGCATGTGTGGAGTAGCTAAAACCTAATTAAAGCTCCAAGAAAGTCTAGCTGTCTTGTTCAAATCTAAATACTGATACTGATTAATATATTTTTTTAAAGTTATTGATTCACTAACTAACTAACCTGTCATGTTTTTCAACAGGTGAGAATAGGAAAAATTGTTCTAGATCCAAAAAAGTTTTCATTCCAAAATTCTAATTTTTTTTATCCACTTCAAAACCAATACATTTTTTTTAATAACACTTGCTAAACCTAAGTGAATCTATAGCATATACTGTGTATATAAATGGACATAGCTAACAAATAGAAAGTTCACATGTGGGCTCTTCCAGCTCCTACTGATCCTGGCTTCGATTGACATGCATTGGAATATTGTGGCCCCTCTCTCTATAACTGTTGCAGTGAGTCTTGTCATTTTCGTCTTAAAATATTCATATTAACGCATTTTACTCGATCCTAGGCCAGCCCCATTTTAGAGTTCCCAAGCATACCACTGGAGGTACAACCTTCCAAGGCGGTCTGGAGCATTAAGAATCTGGGACTGCCTCGCAGGAGGCTAGAAACTAGCTAATCGCAAGGACAGGGTCTTCCATTTGAAGTAGCAGAGGATGGCAGCCACCCTGTACACTCGCAGTGTGGAGATGTGCAAGATTGAAAAGCAAGAAATTTCTGCTGATATACAAAAAGATTTAGGACAATCATAACACCAGCGGTGTAGGCTGACAAGACTGGAGGAGGCTCAAGAAGATGGACAGCATCTACAGCTTCAGACCTGCAAGTGCTGGTCAGGAAGGGGCGTTGGACAGTACCATTGTGTTGACCTGTATGCTTATGGCATATTATAACTGGCCCTGACAATGGCAGCCCCAAGTGAACCTTGTCAGTGGATAAGAAACTTATGTATGTTTATATATATATATCCATAGAAAATCTATACCTAATACGCATTTAGCCTCAAAGTATTGATAGATATAGATAATGGATGTGGTATGAGGTTGGAGCAGAAAAAGACTTTTTAACAATATCAGTGAGGCAAAAGTTTTATGGCATGAGCAAGAAAATAAAGGGCAATTCATAATTTACTGCCACCAACGTCATACAATTCCACATCCTTGAAATTCTCTGACTGGAATAAATGTTTGTATATCCATTCTTCCCAACCATGCATACAAGTTAATAGCCATGTAGATTACTGTGTGTCCTTACTAGGGATGCACCGATCTGATACAGGTATTGGATATCAGCACAGATATTGAAAAAATTGCTGAATGAGATACTGACTTTCAAATATTGGTTTAGCCGATATCCTGGTTGGTGTTGTAAATTGATGTAATAGACTGGTTATACTCAGCCCAGAAAATCTCAGAATGTTTATCTTTTATTTACACAAATTTGCTCTGTTATTACCTGAGAGATAAGTAACAGCTACACAGCCGTATAAGAAGTGAAAAAGATTTTCTCAAAGTCAAATGAATGTTTTGAGTGTGGCAGTGGTTTAGTGGTAGGTTGATGGTTCAATCCCATGCCATTGTGCCCTTGAGCAGTAGTCTGTATACATGTTCAAAGGCTCATGTGTTATCATACAAATTTCCCTCATTGGTCTGATTGAACCATACACTTAAATGAATCTACCTCGCCTTTTTAATTATGCAATGCTTCTGGCTACTCTTAATGATGCTTAATAAGGTTGAGATGCACATTACATATTGAACTGCATATTCCCAACGATGCTGCCCATTTTTCTGGAGCTCATTATATCATCTCTTAGTGTCAACACCAGTGACTCTTGGGTGTTGATCTCATTAAGACGGTGTCGTGCTGTGAGCCTGGAGATGCTGTTCTCTCAGGACTCCCACTTTTAGTCTCTCATCCTCAGTGAGGCTTTCTCACCTGCCTGGTGCCAATCACTGGAGGCTCTTATTTACTTGTTATTACCCTGTGTCTTATGTACCCCTTCACCTCTTATCTTCTGCCTCTGACACTGGGATCTTTTTGTCTGTATTCTTAGGAAAAAGGAGTGTCTCTCTGCAGGAAGCAGGTGCACTGGGCTCATAATAGTTGTCTGCCTCTAACTGGTAATTAAAGCAGCCATGCTGTGCCCTGGTCTCTTCATAATGGCACTACTGACATACAGTGCATCTCACAC